CAGAAGAAAAACAGCAACTTTTAGTGTAATCTTCATCTTTTCCCCAAGAGAGACCTTCTGGCTTTCCACCTTGCCATCCCCACACACTGCAAAGTAGCAGCCAGGAACAGCTCAACTGAAGTGACAAAAAGCCTGGAGGGAGAGCAGCAGTGACAGCATTTGAGCATTAACTTCTTCCGGAGCTGCTGGCTCAGTAATGCACTCGAGCAGGCACACAGAATCCACAGCCGGCTGTAAAGTCCTACCAGGATGCTTTGAATACTGAAGATAGACTTACTCGAACAACCAAAGCTAAGTAGCGGACCAAAGCTTCCCTGAACACGAGCACTGTTTTGGTCCGCCTCCTGTCCCACTGATACAGCACAGACAACACTACACCCTCTGCAAGTGCAGAAGGGACACTGAGGCCAGCCCACTCCCCTGGCACATATGTTCAGTTTTTTGTGACACATTAACATACTACGTCCTAACTCTGGGAGATCAGCTCTGCCCTTTTGACGGGGTTCTCCCTTTCCTAACCAGTGTTTTTTGTTCTGTAGTGTCCTGGAACAATTCCCACACCACATCTCTGGGCTGCCTAAAAAGGGGTAGAGAGAAGTTCTAGTGATCTAGAATAATCCAAAATAATTTTTGTAAACCATCTGACTGAACATAGAATTGTAAACTTCAGTCATTCTACTCTGTCACCTTTCGGGAAGACGGTAATTCCAGGTTTAACTGCCTGACTATGGCACAGCTAATTTACAGAGCATAGGATAACACCTCCATCACAGTTAGCTGAAAACACAGCGTCTTTGCCCTTCGTCTCACGTGGATCTAGAGCTTGCTCCCCGCTTTCTGTGACGTGCCCTACCTGAAGATCGCCCCACTTGCCGTTTGCTGCAGAGAGTTCAGTTTGCCAAAAGGAAGCACAGACGTTGAAAACAAGTAAGGCAAAAGCCAAGTTAAAATCAGCTTTGTAGAGCTGTAAGCCACATAGGCGACCGGGAGACAACATGCATAGGACTAAGTCCTCCCTTAGCCTAAATCAGAAAAAACAGCAAATGGGTTAAACTTAAGTCAATTTGTTGTCTGAGTTCTGGAGCTCCAGGAGTGGTCCCTCCAGAAAGAAAAAGCACGGACAAAGTTTTAAAGAGGAATACAAAAGCATTTTCACCCAACAGCTCTTTTCTGCTGGTCCTCATTTGTTGCTGGAAGTCACTTCCAGCTCATGGGGTCGCACCTGAGGTCTGGAATGTGAAACATCACATTTCAGAGCTGCTCCAGATCTGCTTCAATTACCTGGTCATTATCCAAAGGATCCTTTTGCACAAACGCCTGGACAAATTCTTCCGGTCCAATATAATTGAGTCTCTCCTAAACAGAGCACACAAACAGCCAAGTCACATCCAACATGAACCTGCGTTTCAAAAAGGGGGGAAGGATGAAGTCATCCTTGAAGTACATAACCACTCACAAGCTCGATGTGTGTCAGCTGCTGAGCCAACGCGTAGGGATCGTTGCAGACGGTGATTATGTCCCTCTGGATGGACTGGGGCTTGGTCTTCAGAACTGTGAGGCGATCTGTGGATGTGGCATTGATTTTTGTGAGTACTTCCTCATACTGGCTCACAGCGGTGAGCTTCCGAATCAGGCTCTGGAGGAGCTGCTGCACGTTCTTCCGATACGCCTGTCACGACATGAAACGAGCAGGAGACAGTTTCAAAGCGGGAGAAGATGGTATTAAAGTCTGCATGACACCAAAACAGATTGACACCGACACCTGCATTTGTTGTCAACTTAAGATACACTCAACTGCTGGAGTTCCTGACACTGGCATCTCATCATACTGACAGGAACCCAGATGAGCATTTAAACACCGATCGATTGTCGCACGGATCCGGTAGTGACCCTGCTAGCCCCAGTAACAGCAGAAAAGACACGCACAATCTGCTGCATGGAAAGTACCACCAACTGCTGGACAAAATACAAAAAATGAAAATACCCCCTCTTCTCCTGCTTAAGACCACAGGAAAAACAACGTACGGCCACTCAGTGATGAAAAAAGGACCTGCTTCTCTCTGGGGTAACTCAAGACCAGCTTCACTGAAGTCAGATGTAGAACTTGCAGGAAATATGAGAAAAAGGAGAAGCTAATAAAACCATCTCTCCTTCTTTCACCCTGCAGGCCCTTCTGAGCAGCAGTTTAACTGAACAGGAGTGACAAATTTCCACGGGAGCAGGACAAGGCTCTACTGAAGCAGACACACCCGCGTCACAGACCCCGGGGTGGTCACTCTTCTGAGCTCCAGATACCATCACTCTAACGCCACCAAAGCAAAACCCAAGTGGCTGAAAAATGGAGCATCCAAACCCTACTGGCAGCACAGTGCAGTGCGATCAGTCCAAGGCAGGAATGGTTCCTGTGTTCTACAAATTCACCATTCCAGCCAAAGGTGCCGTTTACATAGATTTCCACATTTACTCAAATACAACAGTGCTATGCTGGGTCAGATTAATTCTTCAAGTCAGTTGAGTTCAACCAAGGCTGAATTTGTCTTGTTACTTGTTAAATAATTGTTTCTGCTTAGATGTGGTTTGATTTTCTAGACAAACACACGCAGCGTAAGTTTTTGCAGGGGTGGGTGGGGAGAGAAGAGGGTGATCTCAAGCTTTTAAAGAAAAGGATCTAAATTTTCATCAGGAAGACACAGAAGTATTACTTCCAGTGCTGTGCTTGCAGAAACGAGTGTTCGATGACACACATGCAGACTTGCTTTACTGACCCATTCCCTTCCAAATTCTCTGAAATTTCATGTAAGAGAAGTTAATGAAGCATTTTCTTGCCCAGCTGGTAAACAACTGAGAATGTAAAAACCATCTAAAATACTCGGGATGAACTCTGGCTACTGATGGAAACCATGTAATGATCAGTGGGTTAATCTTCAAAGCAAAAAAACCCAAGCTTTGCCTGAATTTGTGGTTCGTGTCAAGCCAGAACTGCCAACAAAAGCAGGGAGAAAATGGGTGAAGATACAAACACACCTCATAGATATACCTGAACCCAAAAAAACAACAACCCTCTGCTTTTCTGAGCCTCGGTCTCCTCTTGAGCAGAGGCAGCAACCTCCAGGCGTTCTGTGTGAGGATAAGTATGCACCACGCTTTGTACCCGTAACAGGTATTTGCTGCAGGACCGCTCCTTCATCTGATATGCTTTTTTTATATCTCATATATAT